TGGATATTAGGGAAAATTTCTTCCCCAAGAGGGTGGTCAAGCACCCCAGGGAGGTGGTGGAGTCACCATCTCTGGAAGTGTTCAAAGAATGTGTGGATGTGGCGCTTCGGGACATGGTTTAGTGGGCATGATGGCGTTGGGTTAATGGTTGGACTTGATGATCTTGAAGGCCCTTTCCAACCTTAGTGATTCTGTGATTTGACATGTCCTGTGGATTGTGCTTGGCAATACGTTTTTTGTAGCAATGTGTAGGAGCACGAGTAAGTATTGCTGTCCCCTAAACAGATAAGGAAATTAAGTTAGAGGAATTGGACAACCTGCCAGAGGCCACAGCAAAAGAGCTGAGATAAAACTAGAGATATTTTCAATCCTAAAATGTATATAGGTATAGCTGTAGAGTATAAACTCTTTCTATATCAGTGGCTGCATGCACAGACGTGCGCGTACACATGCAGCATCCTCCCCCATGGTGCAGTAGAGGGAAGGGTCCTTTAAGGAACTTGGTGTGTACTTCTCATTTGCTGGGAAGGCAGGGCTTTTTTCCTTCTCAAAGAATCCAGAAAAAAGGGTATAAAGTTGCCAGAAAGCATCAGCAGGCTCTTGTTTTATTGGGGCCTTAGATGTGGAGAGGCTTGTGATCATTTCTTCAAGCAGTCCATGTCCGTCTTGCTCCGTTTTCCTTCTGTGGGCAGAGCTGTCTCTGGGTGGCGGTGGCTGTGCGTTGGTGGAGCTCTGCTGCCGTGGAGGTGTGCAGCTCCCAGCTCTGCTGTGTGGTTTGTGGGACCCTCAGCAGCTTTTCATCGTTCCCGTGCTGCGGTGACAGTGCAGTCCCTGAGCGCTTGCCTGCCTGAGCCTCCCAGGGAGCTCTTCTAGACCATTAGTGGTCTATGAGTGAACTAGCCCAAGGTGCATTAACCCATCGATAAACTTAAAACTCGAGAGATGCAAAGTGCTCTCATTCACTGGGGAAAAAACAAACAAATAAAACCCCACTGAACAAAAAACAGGAGGAAATATTTTTGCTAGCTTCTTGATATTAAGATCAACGCTTCTGCTATTACGACCAATAGTGCTTTTATACCCAGTGGAGGGGTTTTCAGTTCATGAGATTTGGCTGTATTCTTGTAAAATCCTGGCATTAATAACTGACTCTGGGTCCATTCCACTGCAAAACAGCCTGAGCCCTGCAAACCTTGCAGAGCCCCAGAAGTTTCCTTGATCCTTATCAGGTGCAGCTAACAAAACCCCTGGGAAGGTATCCCCCTCAAAATTAAATGGAGCCTGGCAAGGAGAGCAGGGCCCAAGAAAAAAAATAATGGAGGGAAAAAAAAAAAAATCAATGTACTCACAGCCTTGAATTGTGAAGCTGCTTACTAAGTGAACAGCTCATGCAATTTAACTCCCTTCTTCCGGTGTTGCAGCGCTCTTAATTTTGAGGTTCTTTGATCCACCTATTCATAGCTGTGAAGCGAACAGAATTTAATCAGGCTCTGACAGTGGATGGTTGATTTTAATACCGGCCTCCAAAAAAGAGCTGTCAATCAAAGATGAGCTTTAATACCTTCAACTTGCAGCTCCTTTAAACTTCTGCTGCAGTTGAGTGGTGCTTGGTCAGCTGTGGAGGAGCCAGGCACCTACAAAAGGTGCTGGGGGCTCCTTGGGTGCACTTGGGGGAGTCCCTGAGGGCTATTCCCTCCCCTCTGTGAAGGGGTGTCACGAAACCTCTAATCAAGTTGGTATTTCCTAGCGACATGAGAGGAGAGATTTCCTCTTTGCATAAGGAGCAGCTTTCATAAGTGTGCATCCCAAAAGGCCTGCTGAGATGTTGTTAGCCAGCAGGGAAGGCAAGTTTGGAGTAACTTGGATTAAACCTTTCCTGATTGTAGCTGGAACAGGAACAGTGAGGACAAGGGTTACTTTACATACCTAGTTTTGAGTTATTTTAGCTGGGAATGTTAGATAAAATAGTCAATGACTATTGGCAGGATGGTAGAATATGGTTTAATTTCAGATTTACTATCTGCCAACACATGCCATTCAATCAGATAAACACAGGTTTTCAGCTGTCATCACAATATCTTATGCATATTTAAAAATAGAGCACTTTTTCTTACACCAAAAAGAAATTGAACAGGTTTATATATAGGTTGTATACAGTCAGGAGGCTAGAAATTTTGAAATAGTCTGCCGTTTCTAGAGAGATTTCCTATCTTTAAATTAAGGAATTATATTAGTAGTAGTAGAAATCCTCAGGATTGCTGAAGTTTTATCATTGTCAACTGCACAGAATAAATACAAGTAAAGGGAACCCCTTGAGAAGTTAAACTACATAAAGTGAGGGAAATGTCCGTAGTATTTACAGCAGAGACTATGAGCCTATAGAAGGAGCAAGACAACTCAGAACTTCTCTGCGTGGGAATATCATTCCTCCTCTGGTTTATAAGTTTCCATCCTTGCTCTTTTGTCTGTCCTGGCTCACGTATTGGGCGTGTCACTGTAATGCTTGAATATCTGCTTTGCTCGGGAGGTGGAGACTGATGATGACAATCTAGCGTCACCCCAGCACTATCCTAACCCAATTTTCACAATAAATGTAATTTAAACATTCACTGTCTAACACTTCCCTCCTGAAAACACACAACTTTACTTATGTGGAAACTTTCATATAGGTAAAACGTGGCACCTTTTTCCAGTGATTTACGTTATAAATTTGTGAATACACAGATGAGTATGGCTTTTTGGCTTGCGCACTTAACCAGTATTTGGGTTGTTTATTATATCCCTTGTGAAGAGTAGCTGATGACAGAGTCAAGCATATTTTTAAGGTCTAGCCTGGTCTGTTTACGAGGGATGTGCAAGCTCTGCCCTGCTGCTTTCTCTCCTGCTCACAAGCCCCTTTATTCCTTAATGCCTACATAACCTGTACCTTCAGTCTCATATTTCCTACCTAGTTTGCTCTTTCAGGTTTTGTAGTCAGCTTTGATTCAGAGATGTCCTTGCTAGCAACTACTATCACTTTCCAGCGTAACCGATTATTTATTGCCTGCTCTTGTTCCCTTCTGTATTCTACCCGGCTGTTCCAAAATGAGCTCTAAAATGACGTCCTGAGCTGCTCAGCATAATGGTATCTTTGAAGCCAAGACTTGCACTTTGCTTCGAAGAGCAGCTCTAGGAAAAGACAGCATTTTCTACTGAAGATAAGGGAAAGAAGGCAGTTTTTTGAAAGTGTTCCTCCCACTGGTTTCCCTGCAGGGGGGGAGCTGGCTGGTGCTTTTTTTAGTGTGTGCAAAGGCACTCTTGAGGAGCTTTGCTGTGACAGATCGGCTTATTGCCCATGGAGACAGGAGGACAGCATAATGCCAGCCAAGGTGCTGAATTCCCTATTGCCTGGGCTTCATCCCTTTCTGGTTAAGCTCTCATGCACTTCAGAGGAAAACTTGATTTATCGGGTTGTGGGTCCCTCAGCTCAGTCGTGGGAGGGTCTTTTCAACTTCCCAGCTGCCTCCTGGAGCTGGGTTTTGGCTGCAGAGGCAATTTATGCTGGGCTATGCAAACAGGTAAAATAAAGAAATAGCAAGCAATAGAGTGAAGTCCAGTGTGGGTGTTTTTCGGTCTTCAAGGCTTTGGAATTCTGTTTGGGTTTTATTTTGTTTGGCGCTTTTTTGGTCTCTTAGAGAAGCCTTTCACATACGGTGATCTCCCAAACAATTTATCTGAAATTATTGGTGGGTGGTGCATACGTTTACGGGCTGTGGTTTCCTTGATATGCTCAGCCTCGCTAAGTAGATGGCATATTAAATGTTTTATTTACCCTGCGCGCTACCTGTCATCTAATCAGCTTTTGTTTTTGCTGCATTCTGCTTGTATTATAGCAAGAGTAAGTGGTTTCATGTAAATTAAAACCGCATGAAACCTTTTAAAGCCTTTTTAAAATACTAAATGGTTTTGCAAATAGGTTTGTCGGACAAGGATTGGAAAAAGAGCTCTTTGCTTACCCATTTACTTGTTTGTATGCTTATTAGAAGCCCCCCGTGTGACTCTTTCATCAAACATTGCATCCCAGTACTCATCTAGAATGCCAAAAGTCATTTATATTGTGCTCAAGAGTGGTTCGCGTAAACAGGAGGCAGTTAACAAAGGATACAGTTGTGAGCTACAATTGCAAATGTTATTTTATAAATTACAACACAGATGCACAATAAAGTCAAAACATGCGTCCCCGTGATGTTTTCTTGCTTGCCTGGAGCATAAATGCATGTTGGCTTAAAAGTTTCTTTTTATTAACTATTATTGCCAATGTTTATGATTGTGATCATTTCACTGTGAGTAATTTTGTTTCTTACAGGTGGATCGTATCATCTTCTGCGTCTTTTTGGAGGTTGACTACAAAATTTTCAAGAAGAAAATGGGCGAGTTTTTCCCTCTGGGTAGGTATAGTAATCGAGTGCTAGCTGACTTTAAAAAATGATGCAGCGAAAGGATAACAGTTGGTGTCCTTTCTTCTTTCCCTGCCTAAGCCAAATATGAAATGTGAACTTTCTTTAAAAATCGGCTGCACATAGAGGCTCTGATCCTGGACAGATGCAGACATTTGAAATTTGTGAACCAGTAAAACTAGTTGCAGTACTGCTTTTGCAAAATCAAGGCCTGCTTTTGTATGCTCAGTGCAGCCAGTTTCTTCATTCTCTGCTGTATCCGTATGTTCTCCTGAAACCTGGTGCGTGGTGCTGGCTCTCTTGACTCTGAGAAGAAAATTATTTGCGCTAATGTATATCGCTCCTAGTGTATATTGCTTTTCCATGCACTATGTACATGCTTTGCTCTTTCATTAACCATGCTGGTAGGTTTTCTCTGGGTCTGAAAAGATACCGCAGGGGTTAGAGCCCAACTGCGTCTGAATGAGAACTTTAAACTTGAGCTGTCCCTGTGCAAGAATGAATGGGAGAAAGATGGCTCTCTCTGGAGCACTTGGGAAATGTTAGCCATTCATCTTACGTTTCACAGAGGAGGTTACTTTCTAGAATTTAAGAAAATCTGGTGGATAGTAAATTTGCTAATCCCCCTCCCACCCCTATGCCTGTGATTTATTTTTATCATATGTTCTGGTTTTTTTGTCAACCCTAACCTTCTTCCATTTTATTTTGTTTTCTGTGTCATCAGTCCTACTATATGTGACAAGATCCAGGTTTTACTATTTTGTTTTATCACCCATTTCAGAAGTGGCAGTCACTTAAATATGCCCCACGCTGTCTGTCTGTCTGGTCGAAAGGGCCTTTGAGTAATAGGAAGCAGAGCTTTGCTGTGTTGTGAATCTCCATTAATTCTATAGGACTGTGTTGTCACAGGGTAGCCACAGTGTTTTTTTCCTTTCACTTTGGCTGGTAGTATGGAAATTGTGATGTTTCTGTCTCATCTCACCAGAACAAAGCTTTTTGTAGATGACTTTGTAATCTCCAGTTTGCCATGATTGGCAGCTGAAACTTAAAGACCTATTGAATAATTCAGGTAGCATAGGATGGTGTCTAACCACTTAATAATATTTTTGTCTGGGCCACATTGAGCATGCATTTCAAAGACTGCATCCATGTCTAATCCATTCATTGTAAGATTTTTTTTTTTTTTTTTGTCAGTGTACCTCAACACATAGGATAAAATGGCAGTATCATAGAGTTATAGAATAGTTTGGGTTGGAAGGGACCTTCAAAGGTCATCTATTCCACCCCCCCTGCAGTGAGCAGGGACATCTTAACTAGATCAGGTTGCTCAGAGCCCCGTCCAACCTGACCTGGAATGTTTCCAGGGATGGGGCATCTACCACCTCTCTGGGCAAGTGTTTCACCACCCTCATGGTAAAAATATTTCTTCCTTATATCTAACCTGAATCTATCCTCTTTTAGTTTAAAACCGTTATCTACCCCTTGTCCTATCGCTACAGGCCCTGCTACAAAGTCTGTCCCCATCTTTCTTATAAGCCCCCTTTAAGTACTGGAAGGCTGCAATAAGGTGTCCCCAGAGCCTTCTCTTCTCCAGGCTGAACAACCCCAACTCTCTCAGCCTTTCTTCACAGGAGAGGTGTTCCATCCCTCTGATCAACTTTGTGGCCCTCCTCTGTACCCAGCCTACTGTTGCTGGCTCTGTCCCTGCCCTTCAGATTGAGCGAGAGTAGACTACAGTGTCAATTTGTCAACAAATTAGAGTATTACTACTCACCTTCATTGTTAAGTTCTTTGAAATCACGGTTAAAGCCTGGTATTGTTGTTGTAAATGTAAAACCCACTTGGGTTTGAAAGCCTGAGAGACAAGAAGATGCCTCAGAGCTGAAGCATGGCAGTCCCAAAGGGGAAAAGAGGGGTAACTCCAGTCTACAGAGAACCTGTGTGGTTGGGTGTCATGTTATATAAAGATTTATAATTGCATTACGCCACGTTATACAGATGATCAGTTGTAGTATAGTTTTAAAAGTATGTCTATTCTCATGCATGGAAAGTTTTTACAATTGTTTTCTTGAACTAAAGCTGGCAATTTGATATGTGACCACAGGGAGGTGGTCATGGTGGGGACCCTGTAAGGTGCAGCAAACCCAGTGGTTTGCTGGTGACTATGCAAAAGGATGACCTAATGCTTACGCAGATAGCTGTCCAGAGAAGGATGTTTTAGTTCTCAGCAGCCATAATTTGGTATAGATTGCTAAAAGATCTTAGGATCCATTTTCATAGGCTCCCCACTGCAATTTTCTCATAACTAATGATTCTGAATACCAATTTCGATATCCTTTAATGATACTGGTTTCCAGAAGGAACTGAGTACTTATTGGCTGGTGAGCTGGAGCTTTAAAAGGAACCAGTTTAGCATCTAAAACTTTATCCCCGACTAAGTGAAGGATTTCCAGGGGTTAGGTCAGTAGTCAGTGATTCAGGATATCTGATTTTAATGTCTTCTATCACCATGGATGTTTGGTATGCCCTTATAAGAGTAAGTTAAATCCTCAACTTGTGAGGAGACAGGCAGAGGCAGGAAAGACACATGCTACCCAAATGACTCTCCATTAGTATCCCTGGAGAAATGACTGGTATCTGGGTTTCTCTCCTGGAGAGAGATGAACGAATATATGAATAATATACAGTCTCAGGCTTTCTTTGCCATCTTGAATTGGTACTTTTCTGCAGGGTGCCACCACTTCAACAGATGTCAACTGAAGTCAGCCCCATCCTGAATTGCCTATAGCCTACTGGTGAGAACATCAGCTGAAGGTCTGGATGGCAATTGCCACATGACCATCATGTCTGCTGTTTGTTCCTTTTTTCTGATCTCTTGTAAATTGCCATCTGCATTTAACGTAGTAGACTTTGACGAGTTATCATCAGACTCTCCTACTGTATGGATGTTCCATCTCTCGGTAGAACTGGTTTCTTGCGCAGAGGACTTAGTCAACAGGGCTCTGTGTCAAGGAATTAGCGACTGTCTCTACCTTTGGCAATAAATTCCTGATATTTAGACTGTGGAAGGAATTGCCAAAACTCTGGAGGTTTGGTTTTGTTTTGGTTTTAAGTGAATCTATTAATGTAGTGAAATGAAAGTCTTTAAGGACAGACTTGCCCTAAATTTAAACTGATAGGACACTAAGTGAACACTCGCAGGAGAGAACAACACTGAGATATTAATTTAAGCTTGGAGAAAAAGCATCGAGACGTTTTTAAAGTGTGTCTTGCACTCAGAAACATGATGAAATATATCTACTTTAATAGATGTGGACAAAAATGCTTAGAAAGAATAATATATTCATGAAGTTATATACATAAATAGTTATTACTTTAAACCCAGTGCATTAATAAATCCAAAAAGACATCCAAGTGCTTGAGCTAGTCAAGTGATAATGAAATGAAGCTGGAGTTACACCTCAGTGCATTAGAGTAAGTGGAATATAGATATAGGGAAATTGTTCCATTAGTTGAACATATCATTAGTCCTATTTTGCAAGTGGAATGCCAAAGAAATTAGTCGAGTAATAGTAGTGATATTAAGACAACTGCCAAGAACCTTGTCATTTGCAAACTTTAAATATATAGGGGTAAGAGGCAGACTTCTAAGTAATTTCATATCTTAGGAGCATAGCAAAGCTGTTCAGTAACGGACCAGTTGTCATGGTCTCAGCATTTCTGATTTAATCTCCATAATCAGTAGCCTGTACAGAAATGGAGCCAAAGCCAGTGTGCTCCAAGGGTGAGCGCCACTTAATCTTTAACTCAGACTTAGGAAGTCATCCTAGTGGTTGTCCAGAAAAGCCTTGGTTTAGAAGGTAAAGAGTCCTGGCTCACGCAGAACTTCCTGTTGAACCTCTGGGATTTTGCTATGAAGTTTTTGTATGTCCTGGTAGAAAAAGAGCAAGGTTAGAAGACTTTCTGTAGAACAACCAACCTTCTGTGCTTAAGATGGATCACTGTTTTAATATATTAGGTGCAACAAACAGTGCTGTTTGGGTGTTGTTTTGTTTTGTTTTTTTTTTACCAGTTGAGTCCTATCTCCTCGTGGAATGAGATAGCCCAGCCATTCTCCTTTCAGCTGTGTTGGGAAAGTCTCTCTGTTTAATCTGAGGGAATGTCTTGCTACATATCTTTCAGGCAAATAAAACATCCTTGCCTGCAGTTCTGGCTCAGATGTGTAGTTCTTACATTGCTGGATTCATTGCTACTAGTATTATGAGTGAGCTTTCCAGGAAAGGAGCTAATACTCATAGCATTTTTTCTGTTGGAATTCATTGTTTCTTCTAACAGAATTCTACATGGAGCCTAGATACTAGGCATTACTTTTATTGCTAAATATATATATATTTATAAGACTGACCAGGAAATGCTATAAAAACAATCCCTATTGAAATGCTAGATTTACGAACATTTGCCTCACAGTGATGCGTACTTCTAGGATGCTATTCGTAGGAGTAAAATTAAGTGTATTTGTAAACAGTTGCCATCTGGAGGCAAAGACACCTTTTTTCCTCCTGTGTACTGTGTATACCTAGCTACTTAGTATGTCAGATAGACAATCTTGTAAGGACCTTTGGCAAATGCTTATTTTTCATGGTGGCTGTTGTATATTATGAAAGGTTTATCTTAAATTGTAATGCTTAAAGTAATTCTAAATCTACCACCTGTTATCAGTGAATTGGAGAGGGGAACAATTTTTTCTGAAAATTTTCTTTAGACAAAAATAATGTTGTAAAGGGTACATACTGTGAAGTTGCAGCATTCAAGGTTATGTTGCATTCTTACTATTTTAAACAGAGTAACAAAATTACTTCACTAAAACATCACTAAAATTGTTAGAGAGAAGACAGGTTTGCACTTTTATTAGACCAATTGATAGATGGAAGATGCAAGCTTTTAGACTCCGTGTCCATTCAGAGCTAATGAAAGGATACTGAGCCCAAGAG